GACCCTGGAGTGAAGAAAATAAAACGAGAGCTCCTCACTGACCAATGGTTCAAAGATAATCAAGCGTCCCTAACATACAGGGATGGCTTGGCTTACAAAGGGATGAAGTTATATTTGCCAGAAGCGCTCCGTCTTAACGCTCTCAAACACAGCCACAATGTAAAGCAGGCTGGACACTTTGGATATTTGAAAACCCTACACCTCACCCGCCGACAATTTTGGTGGCCGGGGCTGAAAAAGGATGTGGAAAACTTTGTAAAAAGTTGTACTGTATGTGCCACAACAAAAAGAATCCCGGGAAAAACTCCTGGGCTACTGCAACCCGTGGCAGACCCTTCTCAACCCTGGGAAGAAATAGCTATGGACCTTATAGTGGACCTACCTGAAAGTAGGGGAAATTACAGTACTTGGTACAATGGAAGGGATACCCATTGTCTGAAGCCACCTGAGTGAAATCTAGTGAAGTGAACGCTGACAGATTGATCAAAAGGTTTCATGTGAAACACCCCAACAAACCGAAAGATAACCCTTAACATATGCTTTTGTTTACTTTACAGGTTCTGTCCTTCTTGTACGGGGGGCCGGATGTCAATGCTGCAAATACTGTATATTCTTGCTTTGACAATATGCAAAACTGTCTGGCATTTATTGGGTTAATACTTAGCTTAGACTGGGCGGGGGAAACAAGCCCGGGAAAGAAAGAGGAAGTAAACGTTTGACCTTCTCACTAATTGGATAATGTGACCTGTGACTGCATGAGAAGGGAGGGGTTGAGCAAGGAAAGCTTGATGCCAGCGACCGGAAGTTCAGATTCTGGCATCAATTAGTCCAACATGGTGACCGGCAAAATTTGTAGCTCTGCAAATAAAGACTTTAGGAAACATGCCTGAAAGTTCTTTGAAGTGCTTCATTAGTCAGAACATGTGACATCCTAATGAAAACAACCACTGCGCCTCATGCAGTTTAATAATGGTTGTTAATGGCCCAGTTGGACAATTGTCAAATACGGATCTCCCATTTAGGTCTTTGCTGATTGAACATTTTAATGTTCATGAATTAATTTTATTCTATTTTAAATACTTTTTCATCAGACAGTTGAGGAGTCCTTGCTGCTCTCTGAGCTCAGTTGTTTGCCTGCAGATGTTTTGTTACCAGTGTGAGCTACTGATATTCAGTTTTATTGGTATCATCAGACAATTCACTATACATAACTGTGAATAAATTAGGTTAATTATATATTAAATAAATATATATTATAAAATTGAAAGGTCCCAAATTTGATATAGTCATAAAAGACTATAAGAATCATAAAAATGTTAGCAAGTTACTGAAGGTACATATGGTATGTGTCTTCTTTATTGGCTACTATTAAAATACTACTGGATGCAGATTATAATTTTCAAAAATGATTTAGGAATTCTTATTTCATTACTATTTTTTTTTTTTGCTTCATAGCTCTAGAATACAGGGAGCCAAAAAAAGGGTTGTGCTACATCATCACAAAGGTTCCAGCCACACACCCCATTTTACCATATTTGAGCTTACTTACATCATTTTGCAGTTTGCCCACTTTCAGAGAATGTAACATTTTGGGATCATCCTGGACGCTCAACGCTCCAATAAGCCTCCCTTTGCCCTTTTCGTAGCCTTTCTTGTACTCAACCTATAAGGAGATATTGGGATAAAATATTTTCATAGGCTACAAACTTTGTGTGCAGATTGAAAGCTAAGTGTTATTACTCTGTGTCATACTTACATCGCTCGCAATTTTTTGTTTTGCTTTAGCAGCCAGAATCGGGATAGCATCCATTTTGATATCAAACTTCTTTGCTTTCGATTGATCCCAATCATACTTGTACCAATTCTAACCAAGAAAGAAGAGGAAAATAAAATGGATCATCCTGAACTAGGAATCAGAAGGATAAATCTTTTTTTTAATCTAATGCCATACCTCAACTTGATTGACTAAATGAAAACATTATTCAGGATAAGAGCAACAATCGTCATTTCTAACCAACTGAATAATAAATTCTGACATTCTTTACGCGGCAATCATCAAGAAATAGAATCACCTTTAAATATTTGTAACTTTCACAAAATGAGTCCATTATAAGATGGATCTATATGTACAGATTGCTTTGGCAATCTATACCATACTAATGGACAGATTTAGAATATTTCTTTATCTATATATCTATCAATGTATCTATTGATCAACAAGAATATTGATATAAATATAGCGAGAGACTTAAACATAGAGAAAACGCATATGTTCATATAATGATTATTTGGTTATAGATACATCTACCTAGATCAGTGGTTCTCAACCTGTGGGTCGGGACCCCATTTGGGGTCGAACGACCATTTCACGGGGGTCGCCAAACAAGGCTGTCCGCCATTTTTTCCCCTTTTCTTTGGCCACACCTCTGGCACCTGGTGATGTATAAGTGGTTGGGGGTCACCAGAACATGGGGAACTGTATTATGGGGTCACGGCATTAGAAAGGTTGAGAACCACTGACCTAGATGTACACATTGCCTGTCATTCACTCCCCATCCCTACTCATAACCCAGACTCTTTTCTAGTAATTCCTGATTACAGTCACTCATATTCTAAGTCAGGGGTGTCAAACTCGCCGCATCACGTGACGTGTCACGATGTATTGTGACTTTTTTCCCATTGCCGGAGCTGGGGTGGGTGCGTTTTTGGCAGGATGCATCCAGCCCGTGGGCTGGCAGTTTGACACCCCTGTTCTAAGTACTTCTAAGAGTCTTAGCACCCAACTGGCCTATTCTACATCATTTCTGTTTCTATACTTTCTCCTGCCAAATATGCACAACACATTCCTAGATGTGCTGAGAAATTCTGCTTTCCCTCTTCCTTCTTAAATCATCATATCATTCTCTCATTTTATTTCATCCACTGTATTGATAAATCTTGGTCTTTGTATTGTTTTAAATATAGTTAATTAGATTGGTTCTTTTCAAGCTTACTGTCCTTGTCCATGCTGACTATGGATTACAAGAATCTGTCCAATGTATTCAAAGAAGATTCAACTAGGCTTGTTCACTGTCTGTCTAATAGTCATCGCACCGCAAATATTTTAGATTCATGACCTATTAACATAGTAGCAATAATATTATTTATTAAGAAATTGAGTCACAAGAGCAGCTGTCCATTATACTCACATCACTGATATTATAAGCATTGACCCTGGACTGGAGAAATAAAGGAGCATCTGGAGGTATAGAACATTTGAATTTTTCAGCCTCATGTTTAGCTTTGTAATTCATCTGAAATATAGAATGAACAAATAGTGGAATATAAATTACTAACACATGCTGCTCTTCACTGTGGGATGAATTCCTTCTCCTAGAGATCAACTATGGCTACAGACTTTTTTCTAACCCCGCTATTGATCAAGTCATCAATGCCTTGCTCCAGTACCCAAACCAAATGCCTTCCCAGAAGGACTACCTTGTCAAATTGATGAACCTTCTAAAGGAGCAGATGGGACAGAATGGTGGTGCCCACGGAGTACCAGTTCTTCCCTTACATTAATAGCATCAATTTCAACTTTTTAAATACCAACTTCCTTTCCTGACAAATATGTTTGAAATCTATGAAAATTTACTACTTTCCTATTTGCTCGAACCATATATCTGCCAGGGACCAAATGCTTTATTAGTAACAGAAATGATATAGGATTTTCAATAAGCCTACTGATGGAGGGAGTTATAAAATGGTAAGCATCTCCTCCCCAGGGCTTATTCAGAAAAGTTCAGATAACCACAGTTTAATTTTGTGGTGTGCTTGAGCATTAACTTTGAAGATCTGGTCAAGTAAATAACAGACGTTTGTATAACTAATACGATCTGGAGAATGGCTCACAAGGCAACGAGGAGAGAAATGGGAAGAATTCCTCACCAAGAAGAGGTAAAAATATGTCCCCCTCTTACTATCCAGTGCCAGAAAGAGGGAGGGAATAAAGAGGCCTGAAATGTAGTCCAGTTTCAGTTCTTATTTGGATAGAACATCCCTCCTTCCTTCCTTCCTTCCTTCCTTCCTTCCTTCCTTCCTTCCTTCCTTCCTTCCTTCCTCCCTCCCTCCCTCCCTCCCTCCTTCCCTTCCTCCCTCCCTTCCTTGGTTTATATGCCACTCAGATTCAACAGGATTTATGGGAAACTCATTACAGTATGCTAATACATATAGAATTATTTTCTGCTCTGACAGGATGGAACTCCATCCTCCTCTCCTTGTATTGGAACATTTAGTCTATTTTCTTAGGCCACAGAAGGATATTGTGGGCTTAAAAATGGCTAGAGCTGAACATATTTTTTCCCTTGATATTTTTAATTGATAGCTATAAATGTCATTTACCAAAATCTATAAGACTATAAGGTATTTGATTAATGTAATCACATATAATTCCTGTTATTTCTAAAGCATTGATGGAAATTTGTGGATTTTTATTTGGTGTTGGAATTATTATAAATATTTTGGAATATTCCAAGAAAATCTAATTGTCAATGTAAATACTTCCATTGTTTTTATCTCTAATTGATATTAATCTAAAACAGATTATTTACAATTCTCCGAGTATAAAGAATAAATTAAAGATTGCAAAAATTTATATTTCTTCAATATAGGTACTTAGTGGGAGTCCTATTTTAATACCTTTAATACCTTCAAGGTATTTTATTACAAACATTTCTACAAAAAAGACAAACTTCTATGTTTTCTTTATGCAAATTATTATCATTTCAGGATGTGATGGTGTCAATTTTTTAGATTTTCAGTTTTATTGCTGGACATTTAATTCTATCTATCTATCTATCTATCTATCTATCTATCTATCTATCTATCTCTTTCTATGGAATTCCAATGATCAAAAACACATTCAGACTTCAGCAGTGAAGAGTTTTTCTGCTGTTTGTGAGTCAGCATCAAAGCACACCAGCTTCAAATGCACTGGTTCCAATTCTGACTCTTTTTCTACCTCAGTAATGAGGTAAGCAGGTTTGATCAACAAGGAAAGTAAACAAAGAGGTAAAAAAAATGCCTCTTTGGTGTCAATTACTGATAGCAGAAGACTTGTAGATGGACCTCTGGTACAGGTCAACAAATGTATGCAGCTATCCCTGAGAACTAGGCACAGCTATGCCTTCTCCATCAAGCCAGAGTAAACAGCTTTGTCTTGGGGATTGGCAGTTAAAGAGCAACTTCCCTTCTACTTCTCTTTCCCCACAGTTTTCTTGTCCTTCAGAATATCTTAGTCGGACAGGACAATTAGACACTTTATTGTGGCTTCTTCCCAGGCAGCTCTCTTGTCTTCTTTTGAAGTTTTGGCAGCCTGAGCACAGGCTGCCAGAGCTGTGGGGAAAATGACTTTGAGGCACAATGGGAAAGTTTTGCTTCTCCTGTTGTCAAATGTTGGATGACTAGGGAGCCAGGGGAAGCCAATAGCAGCAGGGCAGTTCACCTTCCTCTTTAACATTACCTAGAAATGAGGTACAGCAGACCAGCTGAACTACAAGTTTTGTATTACCTATGGTGGAAAATGCCACATTAAAGCAAAACAAAAATAGTGGGCAACAGATTGTTTTTCTAATGGGACAAGGCTGAATTTGAAATGATCACATCCATTTCTGTGTTTCTGGAATGGTAGGAAGGCATCTTCCTGCCACAGTTTGCGGGACATGTGAAAGGTCTCAAGATTAAAAAAAAACAATTAAGGGTACAATTACAAACATTTTAGAGTCATCTAAATCATCATCAATGACATGGTCAGTTTCTCCAGAGACTAAGGAGAGGAGGAGGGACAAAACAGAAGAGGTGGCATAGGGATGAAACCTGCTGAAGTAACAATAAGCATTTTCTAGAAGTTAAAAATGAACAGTTTGTAAATCTTTCTAAGCTATTCTGAGTACCAAACAAACACCTGTTAACTGAGAAGGGTGACAGAAAAAATTGCCCATATTTAAAATTCCACAAGCACAACCCTATGTAAAGGCATTGACCATTTGGAACTGAAAAGGGCAATGCCTGCCTCTCGGGGCTTAATTTTTGTCTGCAACAGAGAACCTAATCTATCTGATTCTTGTCTGAGAATGTACTGCTAAATAAGTACATACATGAATAAGCTTCTGGAAAACTGAGATGCACTGCCATGCTCAGGTATGAAACCTGTCACATTCTAAGCAACTGCTTCAATTTGTTTTCAAAAGCATTGCCACAAAATTCTCACTTTCCAAATAGATACCCATGTTATTGCAATGGAAAGAATCTGCAAGCCCCAGCAAACTCTAGGCCAGTGGTGGTGATCCTATGGCACGCGTGCCAGAGGCGGCACTCGGAGATGGCAACTGTCCTCTTCAACCAGCCGCCCGCTAACTTGCTGAGGTCCCTCATGGCTGGATGCACCCCAGCTCCCATGCGCTTGCTGGCCTCTGTGTGCGGGGGCCAATGGTGTCAGGCAGCAGCCATTCCAGCCCCTGCCTCACCTTGCCCTGCGACATGGCACCCCTGCCTCGCCTCATCCCACAGAACCAACCTCCTGCCCACCGCCCCACCTGCCAGAGACCCCTGGATCTCCCCCAACCCTGCCCCCACAGGTGTCCCTCCTCACGAGCAACATCGGGCTGGCCATGCCGACCCTGGCCATGCCCACCCATCTGCCATGATGACTGTAGCCATGCCCACCCAGCAGGCCGTGCCCACCCGGCACCCGGCAATACATAAGTGGGTTTTGGGTTGAGGTTTGGGCACTCGGTCTCTAAAAGGTTCGCTATCACTACGCTAGGCTGTCTGTCAGACAATTTAGCAGAAGACGTAAGATCATGCAAAGCCGGGTCCTGTCCATTTCTTGGTTGCTTACATCACTCAGCTGCTTGGTATTAATCTGTGCTTGTCGCAAAACCAGAGAATCCGGCACTGAAGTAAACTTGATCTGGTCAGGATGCTTTTTGTAGGCAGACTAGGAAAAGAATAAAACAAAACTACTTCATGATATGATTTAAAACATTCTGCTCTGCTACTATCATGCATGCATCCATTCCGCAAAAATATAGATGGAGAAGGCTGCATTTATATTGAAAGTATTTAGTATATGATGTTTAAATGCAGTTCTTATACCACCAATGATGCTTCAAATATTTTCATGTACCTTATATTTCACTTATTACTTTAAGAATATCAAGATATAATACACCACTGAGATTCTTTTATTTTTCAGTTCTCAAGCACATAAAAAAAAGTGATCTCACTAGGACCATGACTTACATCTTTGCACAAGTCCAGCTTCTTCATGGCTTCATATTCTTGAGTTATGGTTTGAGGGAAATAGCATTTAGCCTTTTCGTCTTCATAGTCTGCTTTATAGTTTTTCTAGAGAAAACACCAGAGTTCAGTAAGCACCATGAACTGAACAAGAAAGGGGGGGAAAGTGGAAAATAGGTACCATTCATACTCACGTCGCTTTTCATGGCTCCAACTTTCATGCAATGGGCTTCATAGGGATCCTCAAAAGTGCCTATGTACCGGCCCAAGACATTGGCTATGTAAGGCTCTTTGTATTTCACCTGTGGAGCAACACAATTACATGTTGTAGCAAAGCAAGCAAGACTATGGAGCAGAAGCAAAGAGAAATGTCCACCAAACGTACCCCACTGAAGTTCTTAAGAGTGTTGTCGACCTGGTACTGTGGAGTCTCACAATAGTTAATGCTTACTCCTTTCGCTTTTTCGTACAGTTCCTTATATAGTCTCTGCAAGAATGAAAAAGAAAGGAGAACGGGTTATAAAAAGCCATGTGGAAAATAACCTTCCTTCTGGGTATGCCTCATCCCCACTTACACAGTTCTGTTTCCTTTCTGTCCTGAAAATATGCATCACAATGCATACCAAAAGATTTCATTTAAATGTACTTTATGAATTCATAATTAGAATGGGCACATAAGAACTATCTTCCTGGCTTAATTGCAGGATATAGATTAGCAAAAGTTTTCTCTCCAAGAGTAGCAAGGCAGGTGTTTATGGGAAATCCAAATCAGTTTATAAATGAAATGGCCAGTATACCTCATATCAGTTAATAATGGCTATTAATAATGTTCCATGTAAACAGCTTTCTGATATGGATATTTCTTTTAGTTCAGAATTCCCCAACCTTTCCAGGTTGGCAGCAGGAGGGAGGGAGGAAAGAGGGGATGGTTTTGTGGGAGGGGCAGGCGCATGTGTGTGTGTGTGCATGCGTTGTTACATATTTTATGTTATATGTTATGAATATATCACAAATATGATATAAGTTATGAACATAGGGGGCCTGTAATATAACCATAGCTAGGCTTTTCATGAATTCACTGGGTAACTCACGCTGCTGGAACATGTGTATTACTAATAAGGAAAGATTCTGAGTGTGTGTACGCATGCTTTATTGTTGGTGATACCAGGTAGAACATTAGTGGACATAAAGAGTGCAGTAGATTGCACTTTTCATGGAGTCTTGGAACAGAAAGCAAAAATGTAAAGTTCCTGACATGACTGGGGCAAGATGTACCATACACATGGATTCTGAGTAAACTAGTTGGGTATAAAGAGAAGACTGGAATGAACCCACAGCCCAAAGTTTGAGATTACTCTTGTTGGAGCAGGAGATGCTCTAAGTCTGCTTTCCAGCCCACTCTAACACAGCTTGATCACCTGTGTTGAGAGTTTATGTGAGTATTGTGTAAATGCGTAGCTTAGTTGAGCAGCAATACTTACAGCAACTTGAGTAGCCTTGTTGGGCACAGTTATCTGAGTAGCCTTGTTGAACATAGTAACCTGAATAGCCTTGTTGGGCATAACTTATCATAGTAAGATAACTTTGAAATTAGACAAGTATATGTACAAATATAAAGGAACTAATTAAGTTTAATTGCACACTTGTCTTGCCTTTTGTCCGAATAATACAAGAATAACTTGTATTGGAAAGTTACAATACAAGTAACTTTGGAAAACTTCACTTTGAGTGGCTTGAACTCAATTTTATGACAGCGTGCTAGCACCCATGATGTCTGCGGTGATGCTCGCACAAGTGGGGTCGCAAGCATCTGCAATGAGGCTTGTGTGAGTGGGACCGCACACACTGGCAGGTCACTTACACCGCCCAGTTCATTCATGATTTAGCATATTGATGTTCATGATTATTTTAATTGAAACATTTTTTCATTAGGCAGCTGACTACTTAACTTGACTCTGAATAAATTAGGATAATTAGGCATTATATAAATATATATTATTAAACTTGGAAGTTCTCAAATTTAATAGTCATAAAAACATTAACAAAATACTACAGGTGCATATGGTATGTGTCTTCTTTACTGGCTACTGTTAAAATAGTACTATATGCAGATTATAATTTCAAAAAATGAGTTGCGAATTTTTATTTCGCTACTAATTTTTCTTGCTTTTATAGCTCTAGAATACAGGGAGCCAAAAGAAAAGGGTTGTGCTACATCATCACAAAGATTCTCACTTGCCACACACTCCATTTTCACTCTATCGTATTTTGGGCTTACGTACGTCATTTTGCAGTTTGCCCACTTTCAGAGAATGTAAGATCTTGGGATCATCCTGGACGCTCAAGGCTCCAATAAGCTTCCCCTTGCCCTTTTCGTAGTCTTTCTTGTACTCAACCTACAGGGGAATATTGGAATAAAATATTTTTACAGGCTACAAACTTTGCATGCAGATTGAAAGCTAAGTGTTATTACTCTGTGCTGTACTTACATCGCTCGCAATTTTTTGTTTTGCTTTAGCAGCCAGAATCGGGATAGCATCCATTTTGATATCAAACTTCTTTGCTTTCGATTGATCCCAGTCATACTTGTACCAATTCTAACCAAGAGAGAAGAAGAAAATAAAGTGGGTCAACCTGAACTAGGAATCAGGAGAATAAGCCTCAAAAGACATACACTGGTAGTAGAAGATGCCTTTATCTATAACCATACCTCAGGTTGATTGACAACATGAAAGTATTCTTCAAGTTAAGAGCAAACATTTCTAACCAACTGAAATATACATTTTAATGTTTCTCTATGCTACCATAAAGTACTATTAAAAATATTATCACTTTTTAAAATTTGAAACTTGTTAAAAAGCCTCTTATGAGATGAACAATATACAATATGCAAATATGTGATATAACTAATCTATCCTCTTCAGTACTTAAAGGCAGAATGCATTCACCTAGTCAAATTCTTTATCGTCATCTGATCCTTGCCTGGATACCAAACTGTGATGTATCACATAATTGGAGGTATGTCTGCTCAATCGCACACCCTCCCATAATATTTTCAACAACAGCTTTTAGCTCTACTTTTCCAGGTTGTGTTAAGTTATGCAGAACTTGATTAGCCTCTTTCCCTACCATTCCTGCTACCTTTTTCCTGACCTTCTAGTCTTTTCTAAATATTTGTTGTTTTGTTTTCTTTCTCACCCTTCTTCTTGTGTCATAATTTTGACATGCTTCATTCTTTCTCCCCAAGAATCAATATGTTTTGAACACCTTTCACTTTTGTTCTAAAATTAAGTTAATTCTCTTTTTCATTTTAATGCCCTTGCTCGTACTGACTATGGATTATGAAAGATACCCCGGGGTCTTCAGAAGGCATCCATCTAGTCTTACACCCTGCTTATCTGCTTGACATCACACTACTATGTGTTTGATTCATGCCCTATTATCCTAGTAGTAATAGCAATATTTAATATTTTATGTAATTAAGTCAAAACTATCATATGCAAGTCTTATACGTACATCACTGATGTTGTAAGCATTGACTCTGGACTGAAGAAACAAAGGAGCATCTGCAGGTATGGAACATCTGAACTTTTCAGCCTCATGTTTGGCTTTGTAATTCATCTGAAATATAGAATGAACACATAGTGGTATATAAATAACTAACACACACTGCTCTTCACTATGGGATGAATTCCTCCTCCTAGAGACCAACTATGGCTACAGACTTTTTTCTAACCCCGCTAACTGAAAGGCAGAACGAGTTAACGAGGATTTAAAGAGCAACTGTGTGGGGACTGCTACAAAAAAATTCATGCAAACACACTGTTCATAAGACAGGTATTATAATTTATCAACATCGTGCCACACATATATCTAGTGTCAGCAGCATACTTCCACTACGATAGTATCCGCACAACAGAGGAAAAGAGTTTCATGGCACCATCAAATGAAGAACGTCTTTGACTTTCAGTGGGCCAGCAATCAAAAATGATCACTTTCATTTCGTAAAATCTGAATCTAGTTAAGCATCAACCAGCAGTTCCTGACAACTCCTAGCAATCACTTAACATTTTTGCAATGTTAAGTACCTGCAAGTCCCAACTAATGCTGTGCTGTTTGTCAGACAACTTAGCAGAAAATAAAGACCATGCAAAGCCTTACGTCACTCAGCTGCTTGGTATTAATCTGTGCTTGTCGCAAAACCAGAGAATCCGGCACTGAAGTAAACTTGATCTGGTCAGGATGCTTTTTGTAGGCAGACTAGGGAGAAAATATTTTTTTAAATTCAGTGGCAATTAGTTTTTGGTAGACATCAAGTTTATGCTTTTATCATTCATGATACATTTTATGACGATCCTTTGTGTTATCATCGTTCATGCCTCCATTCAGTAAAAGTACAGTTGGAGAAGGCAGCATTTATTTTGACAGTATTTGCCTATGATGTTTGAATTCAGTTCTTGTACCACCAACAATCTTTCAGATATTTTTGGATCATGTAATATCTTTTATTTTATTTCTTGGTTTAAGAATTTTATGAAATAATATACCACTGAGACGCTTTTCTTTTTCAGTTCTGAAGCACGTAAAAAATATGACCTCACTAGGACCATGACTTACATCTTTGCACACGTCCAGCTTCTTTATGGCTTCATATTCTTGAGTTATGGTTTGAGGGAAATAGCATTTAGCCTTTTCGTCTTCATAATCTGCTTTATAGTTTTTCTAGAGAAAACACCAGAGTTCAGTAAGCACCATGAACTGAACAAGAAAGGGGGGGAAAGAGGAAAATAGGTACCATTCATACTCACATCGCTCTTCATGGCTCCAACTTTCCTGCAATGGGCTTCATAGGGGTCCTCAAAGGTGCCTATGTACCGGCCCAAGACATTGGTTATGTAAGGCTCTTTGTATTTCAGCTGTGGAGCGACATAGTCACATGTTATAGCAAGGCAAGCAAGACTATGTATGGAGCAGAAGCAAAGGAGAAATCTCCACCACACTTACCCCACTGAAGTTCTTAAGAGTGTTGTCGACCTGGTACTGTGGAGTCTCACAATAGTTAATGCTTACTCCTTTCGCTTTTTCATATTCTTCCTTATATAATCTCTGCAAGAGTGGAAAAGTAGAAGTAATCATGCAACAGGGATTTAGAAAATATTTCTTATATGCATGATGTTGACTCCCATTTAGAAAGTTTTGCTGTTGAACTGTGGGTAATCCTGAGAAATAATATATTCATTTGAAATTAAATACAGAGCCAAGATTGTAATATTAAAAAAAAAAGTGTTTAGGACTTGTTATTTCATACTCCATTGTCTCCTTGCTTGTAAGCTCCTGGAACCCAAGATAAATGTTATATGCCTCCCACACTTCCTGTTTTCACAATTTTATTCATAGGGGTTACTTACATCATTTTGCAGCTTGCCTACTTTCAGTGAGTGCATGATCCTAGGATCATCCTTAACGCTCAAGGCTCCAACAAGCCTCCCTTTGCTCATTTCATAGCCCTTCTTGTACTCAACCTACATGGGAAAAGAGAATAACATAGTTTCATATGCTATAAATTTGTATAAAAATGGAAAGCCAAGAATTGCCTTTTTTTTATTCTGTGTAACACTTACATCACTCGCAATTTTTTGTTTCGCTTTGGCAGCCAGAATTGGGATGGCATCCACTTTGATATCAAACTTCTTTGCTTTGGATTGATCCCAGTCATACTTGTACCAGTTCTAACCAAATGAGCATGATAAGAAAACATAAGGAAAGTGTGACATGAAGAATCAATGCAGCCAGTTACTGTAGGAAATATATAAAATCACAACAACCTGGCATATTCAAATCATTAACAACTCGATGCGTTGAAATCTGTGCAGCTTTGAAAAACTGGTTTATAACATGTATAACTATATAAGTTATATATATATATATATATATATATATATATATATATATATATATATATATATATATATATATATATATATTAAAAATTACATTAAAAATTGAAGAATAGCGATTCCTGGGTACATACATTTCAGTAAAAAAGGAAAGCGATCACCAGGAAGTAAAACACCAAGGTTTTAATAAATAAAATCAAGCTTTCGATGGCTAACATCTGACATCATCGTCAGGATACAAGCCAGTCAGTGAGGAAACCTGCTTATAAGCATAGCCACACCTAAACTCTACGCATGGACCTTGTAACAGGTCCAAGCCAACTAATCCTTACTTTACTTACAGCCTTCAGTGATTCTTTCTTTTAGCTCTTACTTACATCCATCTAGCTTTCAATGGCTAGCACCTGCCATCATTGTCAGAATACAAGCTAGCTAGTGAGGAAACCTGCTTACAAGCATAGCCACGCCTAAACTCTACGCATGGACCTTGTAACAGGTCCAGGCCGACTAATCCTTGCTTCACTTACAGCCTTCAGTGATTCTTTCTTATAGCTCGTACTTACATCCACACAACCACCCACTTCCTCCCTCCCTTTAGTTCCTGAGTCATATAGGCAACGTGTGTTTCTCAAAATTAAAGGGTCCTCTGCACTATTGAATTGATTCTTCTTTCTGTGTTCCTTGGGACGTTTCTCTCCTCCACTCCTCCGACACGCATCGCACTCATTTGCATTCTTCAATCCTGTCACTCCTTCAATCCCCCCACAATCCTTGCCACCAATCTCATCCACAATTTTATTTCCCCCCACTGTTCCCAGCATATCGCATCCTCCATGCTCCTCCTTCATGCCACCTGGTGCGACTCTCAATCCGGTTGCCTCTCTTTCAGTCTTCTGTAACGCCGCTCTCCGGGAGCGCGTGACCACCCCCATAATGGGGCGGCTGTAAGTATTGATCTTCTGTACATCCATTGAAGGCATGTCTCTGTCTCAGTGGCTCTGATCAGTGTGGCCGCCTAGCAAAGGTGTTATTCTGCCATCGCTCATGGTAGGTGTTGCCTTTTTTGAATTCCTATCCATTTCCAAGGCGCCAGCGACCAGATGCGTTGTAGCGGGGGCACCATTGGGGACAATGGAGCCGATATAGTCACTGGGGTAGTGAATTTGTTTTGTGTTGATTGGGACACTTGTTGTTCTTATTCTTGAGTATTGGGTACAGTGCAAGGAGGTGTCTGGGGCATCCGAGGATGGGCTACCAATATCAACAAATTTCTTAATTGACGGCGGATGTACACACGAATCGTTAACTAAAGGGGGTCTAGATTGTAGATGTCTCTCTTCTTTGTTGCCAGTTTCATCTAATGGACACCCAGAGTTTTTGTTACTCAGATGTTTTTTCCCAGGTCGTCTACGCATTTCCCATGCCTTCATGGTCTGATATGCCGAGCGTAGGTCCACATGTCGATTGATTGACATGCTGTCTGAGAACCAGGCTTCTTTGAGTAACCTACCACTCTTGGAGGTGTCACTGGCAACCACCCTTACGTCGTCAAAATTAAATTTATGACCAAACTCCTCCATGTGAGTCAGTCTTTGGGAGTACTGCTCACCTCTTCTTATTGCCAGCTTGTGTTCCTGCATTCTTGTTCCGACCCTTTTGGAAGTTTCTCCCACATAATTGCCTGGACAGTCATTACAGTTAATCCTGTAAATGACTCCAGATCTCTCAACTATGGGGAGTGGGTCCTTTGGTCTCATAATGCAGGAACGCAACGTCCGGTCAGGTCTATGTGCAACCCTTACACCATAGGGTGCCAATAGTCTAGTGGTGGCTTCCGAGACGTTGCTAATGTAAGGGAGGGTAATACGAGTTGTCTATGATGGTGCCATCCCACTTGATGGATTTGGGGATGGTTTGGACAGAGTACTGTGGCGTCTGATGAATTTCATGGGGTACCCATTGTACCTACAGAGACGGAGGAGATGTTTTCTTTCCTCCATCCTAGCTTCGGCTGTACTGCAGTGGGAGTCCACCCTCTTGAAGAGGGTTCTAATGCAGCTGACTTTGTGGGCCACCGGGTGATTGCTGTTGTAGTGCAAAATTCTATCGGTGTGCGTGGGTTTGCGATAGACCCGGGTGGTTAAGGTCCCATCTGGCTGGCGTTGGACTAAGACATCAAGAAATGCCAGCCTACCCTGATACTCCTCCTCCTCCGTAAATTGCAGATCCACGCACACCGAATTGACTGTGGTCGCTGGCGCCTTGGAAATGGATAGGAATTCAAAAAAGGCAACACCTACCATGAGCGATGGCAGAATAACACCTTTGCTAGGCGGCCACACTGATCAGAGCCACCGAGACAGAGACATGCCTTCAATGGATGTACAGAAGATCAATACTTACAGCCGCCCCATTATGGGGGTGGTCACGTGCTCCCGGAGAGCGGCGTTACAGAAGACTGAAAGAGAGGCAACCGGATTGAGAGTCGCACCAGGTGGCATGAAGGAGGAGCATGGAGGATGCGATATGCTGGGAACAGTGGGGGGAAATAAAATTGTGGATGAGATTGGTGGCAAGGATTGTGGGGGGATTGAAGGAGTGACAGGATTGAAGAATGCAAATGAGTGCGATGCGTGCCGGAGGAGTGGAGGAGAGAAACGTCCCAAGGAACACAGAAAGAAGAATCAATATATGACTCAGGAACTAAAGGGAGGGAGGAAGTGGGTGGTTGTGTGGATGTAAGTAAGAGCTATAAGAAAGAATCACTGAAGGCTGTAAGTGAAGCAAGGATTAGTCGGCCTGGACCTGTTACAAGGTCCATGCGTAGAGTTTAGGCGTGGCTATGCTTGTAAGCAGGTTTCCTCACTAGCTAGCTTGTATTCTGACAATGATGGCAGGTGCTAGCCATTGAAAGCTAGGTGGATGTAAGTAAGAGCTAAAAGAAAGAATCACTGAAGGCTGTAAGTGAAGTAAGGATTAGTTGGCTTGGACCTGTTACAAGGTCCATGCGTAGAGTTTAGGTGTGGCTATGCTAATAAGCAGGTTTCCTCACTGACTGGCTTGTATCCTGATGATGATGGCAGATGTTAGCCATCGAAAGCTTGATTTTATTTATTAAAACCTTGGTGTTTTACTTCCTGGTGATCGCTTTCCTTTTTTACTGAAATGTATGTATCCAGGAATCGCTATTCTTCAATTTTTAATGTAATATATATATATATATATATATATATATATATATATATATATATATATATATATATATATATATAAAAAAAACCTTTAAGAATAAGAAATACTGGATTCATCTCTGTGTTGATTTCATGAAATGACTAGATCCTTCTTGGTTTTTTAGAGATCATATATTAATTCAGTGGTAGTTGCAGGGCTTTTTTTGTCATAGAACGCCCAGAATGGAGTTCTGGCACCTTTTTGGGATGGAACCTTGTAGGGTAGGCAAGGCGGGTTGTATAATGTGTGTGAGTTCCGGCATCTTTTTTTTTTTTTTTTTACAAAAAAAGCACCAGGTAGTTGTATCCAAAATTTGATTCCATTAACAGTGTTGAGTTATCCACACACTGTTCCTCTTGTTTGTTATCTATTGATACACATTTCTCTTTATCTCTCTCTTTTCTTTGCTTCATGCTATACTATTTCCTTTCTTTATCTCTACTGAATCTTTTGTTTCTGTCATTCCACCTTTCAGTCACTTTCCCATCCAGCCTTTTCTTAACCAGCATGCCTCCATTTCTTTTGCCTGCTTCTCTCTCTCTCCCATTAAGTTATTTAATTTTTCCCTGTTAGGGATTTCTTCTTTTCCTCATTATCTTATAATAATTCTCCCTAAGATGCTATCTAGATACAAGGTCTCTAGTGCAAATAAGTCAAAGATATTGTCCAGGTATGCCACTTTCCTTCCTTAGGGGACTTTTCATGGTAAATAAAAAAAGAAACAAGCAGTGGGATTAGGAAGGGGAAACTACAACAATGATAAATAGAAGATGAAAACCTCTGCTCATCTATTGAATTCTGTAAATATGGGAGTGTAGCTACACCATAGTAACCACATCTGGAAGTACCCATTGTTACTTCCTATTGCTTTCAATTTTTAAAAAGTTATTTCTAAATAAACACTAGATTTGTGTCTTTCCCTTTCTCCCATGCTTTTGGGCTTTATTTGTTTACATTTGCCTCTTTTAGAATGTAGCTAGTCTAAACCATCAATCAATCAATCAATCAATCAATCTGTCTGTTTGTCTGTTTGTCTGTCTCTATCTCTACTTCTATCTCTGTCTCTACTTCTATTTCTATCAACTATCTATCTATCTATCTCTATCACTACTTCTATCTCTATTATCTATCTATCTATCATCTATTGGCTTTTACATCACTGATGTTATAGTCATTAACATAGTAGCAATACTATTATTAATTATAAAATTAAACACAAGAACAGTTGTCCATAATACATACATCACTGATATTATAAGCATTGACTCTGGATTGGAGAAGCAATGGAGTATCTGGAGGTATGGAACATCTGGATTTTTCTGCCTCATGTTTGGCTTTGTAATTCATCTGAAATGCAGAATAAGCAATGCCATAAAATGGGATAACATGGAAAAACTTGAATTACAACACTACCATTCATTGCTAACAATAGATCTGAACAAGACAACGGATTCAAACGTTTCAATTCAAATATTTCAAAAGCAAACCATAGTTAGCCATTTGTTTCAACAACATGAATGTGCATCTTTAGAATGGATCAGTATAAATCATCTGGAATAACATATGTCTTTCATCCAGACAAAACAGTTTGCTTGCTTTCCTATGATGCAACTTCCTCAATAAGAACGTTAAAAGATTGATAAAACTTTCAGGGTATAGAGCAATTTAGGATGGTATTTGGACATGCTATCATTAAGATATGAGACAGTTTGGTGCAATGGTTAAGGCATCAGAGTAGAAAGCAGGAGATTGTGAGTTCTAATCCTGCCTTAGACTCAAAGCCAGCTATGACTATGAGCCAGTCACTCTCTTTCTCTCAACCTTAAGAAGGAGATAGGCACAAATTACTTCCGAAAATATTGCCAAGAAAACTGTAGGAATTAGTCCAAGCAATCACCAGGATTCAAAAAAATCTGATTCAAAGGCATAACAATAACCATCCAATCATTAAGACTGTTTGCTGGAATCGAGCGCATGACACACATACCCCTTACTTTGATATCTTATCTGTGTGAGATTTAGCTTACTGTTCTGTTAATAGAAATCGTATATGCAGATACAATGGGAGGAAGCCAATTTTATTCCCCTAGTAGTCTCATCACTCCTTCTCAAAATCAGATGTTGTCGGTGTACAGAGGAGAAGGAAGAAAAAGAAATTCCTTCTTACTGCTAGAAGTCTGGCTCCACCTTTCAGTTTACTATAATTGGTAAACATAGTAATACAATGTCAGTAAAAGTAGGCTTTTGTGCTTTAAGCTTTCTTTTTTTTTACTATAGGACTTAAGACATGAAACTAAACATGTAGAGCCGAGGTGGCACAGCAGTTAGAGTGCAGTACTGCAGGCCACTTTAGCTGACTGTGTTCAGCAGGTCAGCGGTTCAAATCTCACCGGCTCAAGGTTGACTCAGCCTTCCATCCTTCCGGGGTAGGTAAAACGAGGACCCAGATTGTTGGGGGCAATGTAAATATATATATATACATTGCTTACTGGTGTACACCGATTAGAGAGTGCTTGCACTTAAAGCCATATATAAGTCTCATAAATAAATAAATAAATAAACCACCATATTGAAAAATATGCCTGGATAAGTGGAGAGTGAGATTCTTCCTGGACCTAACTCCATCAATTTCTTCCTATATACTTCTCCACAATATCAGATTCCTAAAATGACGCAGTCCCAAAACCTCTGTTGGAAACTAACTGTTGCTTATTCAATAGGCAATAATCTACTATATAATGCAGGGGTCCTCAACCTTGGCAACTTTAAGACTTGTGGACTTCAACTCCCAGAATTCCTCAGCCAGCAAAGCTGGCTGAGGAATTCTGAGACTTGAAGTCCACAAGTCTTAAAGATGCTAAGGTTGAGGACCCCTGATATAATGCTTCAATAAACAGAATATATACGTTTCTTGGTCAACCATGAGTTGTTCATTTGCCCTTTCATTGTTAAATATGCAGCATTATGACTGGAAACATTTTATCACACAAAGCTTCATGAAGTATAAAGTCAGACAGGAACTCATTCTTTAACTTGCAGGTCACTTACATCGCTTAACTGTTTGGTATTAATCTGTGCTTGTACCAAAACAGGGGAATCCGCCGCCTGAGTGAACTTAATCTGATCTGGAGGTTTCTTATAGACAACCTGGGTGAAGTGAAAGCAAAGCATAATGAACATTTAGGCTGCAGTACTGTGGTCTTCATGGTATGTTTTGTATCTGGAATGATAGCAGATTTTAATACAATATATCTGTTGCATCTAGAATACGTTCTCTCAACACGCATTAAGATTAATCAAGGGAAGAAATAACAGTGGGAGGGAATCAGTGCTCTTTGTCTTGGGACCACTTCTGAATCCGTTTCATTGTCCAGGCAGATAACGACTGCCAAACCAGAAGCTAGCCAGAGGTTTGCTAGCCAGATGTTTATAATTCTGGCATAACAAGATATGTCATGTACAAATGCCCCACTTCTAGCTATAGTTAAGGCATCTTACCTTTTTTGCAAACTCAGCCATGGCTTTTGGCAGTGGCTTGCTCTCCAAGCTTGTTTCAATTTAGTTTCTGAACGTTTTGTTACCAGGCTAGAGATCATCATCAACCATGGCTTATTTTGCAGGGTACAATAAGCTCTACCATGGTAAGGCTAAGGCTATTGTGCAAATAGCAATATGCTACACATATAGTAGCATGAGCTAAATCGAAATGTATTGCAAGTCACCCTCAACTTACAACAGTTCATTCAGTGACTGTTCAAAGTTACAGTGGCACTGAAAGAAAGTGACTTAGGACCACTTGCCACACTTACGACCTTTGTAGCATCCCTATGATCATGTGATCAAAATTCAAATCCTTGGCAACTGGTTGTTCATATTTATGACAGTTCCTGTGTCACTTTTTGCAACCTTCTGACAAGCAAAATCAATGGGGAAGCCAGATTCACTTAACAAATGTTGCAATAAAGGTCGTAAAATAGGGGAAAACCCACTTAACAAATGTCTCACTTAACAACAGAAATGTTGGGCTCAGTTGTAGTCCTAAGTCAAGGACTACCTGTATTTTCTGCAATTCTGAAAGCTTTCAGCCTATTATAGTCATGGAAAGATCAAAATATATGAGACGCTCAATTAAGGAGATGTTGAATAACTGTGACTTATTTACTATTCAGTATGTGAACTATTCTTGATCCAGCCCTTACAGATTGTCACTTAAGTGCGTTTGTGAGTGAGTGCGCACAGTATTAAAGATGATTATTTCCATCACCATGTCCAATTCTACAGCAAGTAAATTGAATTTATATAAGGTTTTGCTTGAGAAATTATGCATGTGATCCAAATACATGTTAACCACTAGATGTCATGAGCTTCCTATAAATTAATATGATGATGTAAGATGTTAGAATGATACCACTTGAGGACAAACTACACATTATATGCAAATGAACTTTTTTTTTTAATTAATACAAAGCAACCTCTGCAGGTTGCAGTTTTTAGCTAAGACCAAGTAGATAGCATAGGCTATAAAGAGTTCGATTCAATGTTTTTTTTTCTCATTTCTCTCCTTTATTCAAAATCCCAATTCTTCAGTATGCCTGTTGGAATAATGGGACTCAGTGATGTGATCCTAAGTCAACATAGACCAAGTCTCTTAAATAGAAAGCAGAATAAATATTTCAATAGAAGATAGCTTTTTTCCACTTCTGTGAAATATTAAAAAAAACATGACTCAACCAGTAGTCAGATTTACAGTAAGGGGTCCCTGGTGCTCTCTGAGCTTGCTTGTTTTCTGACAGACCTTTCATTACCCAAACTAGGTAACATCATCAGTGCTAGCCCTGATGATGTTACCTAGTTTGGATAATGAAATGTCTTCCAGAAAACAAGCAAGCTCAGAGAGCGCCAGGGACCCCTCATTTCAACCCTGAGCTACAAATAGTCGGATTTATGTCTATGTTTTCTTATGCGGGTGCAGTATTTGTCTATCTTCAAAACTCATTTTATCATTTGGCCATTCAAATTGCTTTAAACAAGTTTCAAAAGGCACGCTTTCCTCCCCCCTCCCCCACATCTGAGGTTCTGAGCCGTACACAAATACAAGATTTCACGGCAGCTCTTACGTCTTTGCACTTGTCCAGCTTCTTCTGGACTTCATATTCTGGAGTCAAAGTCTGGGGGAAGTAGCAGTTAGCCTTTTCCTCTTCGTAGTCGGCTTTGTAGTTTTTCTAGAGAAACAATAAGGGATCAGTAACCGTAACAAATCAGCGAAGCCGGATTGGGGAGCTAGAACTCATACTCACGTCGCTCGTCATAGCGCCAACCTTCATGCAATGTATCTGATAGGGGTCCTCATGGGTGCCTATGTACCGGCCCAAGACGTTGGCTATGTAAGGCTCTTTGTATTTGACCTGGAAAAGAATGCCAGCAGTTTTTTATAAGAAACTGCACAACTTTCTCTGGAACACGTTAAAGAACTACTTCTATCACACTTACATCACTAAAGTCTTTCAGGACATTGTCGATTTTGTACTTTGGAGTCTCACAGTAGTTTATACTTTTCGCTTTGGCTTTCTCGTAGGCTTCCTTATATAATCTCTGCCAGAAAAAAAAGAAAAAAGAATATAAAGTATTACAGAAGTATTAGTGTAAGGGGAACCCAGAAAAAAAACTCTTCTGCTGATTATGATGCCATCAAACCTGTGCTGTCTTCAAAAATGAAGCAAGCTGGTCTAGAATGCAAATCTTTATTGTTCATTATTTATCTTATCCAAGTTATGAACACTGTGAAAGCAAAGCCTTTCTGGATCAAATGTGAAAAAAGGAACATTCTACTCAAAGGATGTTTTATAGTCTACACTGATCTAACCAATTTGCTGATTAAATTTTGCATTCTCATAACAAGACAAGAAGTTACCGAACAAACCTATTACAGTAATAAAGAAGCCTAATTTTAAATAACAAATAATGATGAATTGTTGAAACTCTGTTTTATCAAATCCATCCCTGGAAAACAAATTGCATACTTACATCATTTACATTATTTGCAACAGCTTTTAGATGCCTGAGCATTGGATTCTCAGTTGCTGGAAGTACATTATAATCTGCTGAACCTTTGGCTTTTTCATAATCTTCCTTGTATTTCACCTAGAAGAATTAAGGGAAAAGATTTTAATGCGTTTTCCAATTTTACAATATGATTTTGTAACCTTTTTATTTGGGCTTTTCGCTCAAAGATTTTTTTAAAAAAAAAACATTGGAAACATTCATATACTATTCTAAATCAAACACATTTGAGGCTCTTAAGAGATGCCATCTCGTCAATTAGGAAAACAGGTTCAACTGGAAAATGCTATTTGTACCTCATACTTGGCAATTGTTCCATAGTCAAAAAAAAGGCCATTGCTGATAAGCTGATGAAATATAACTGGAATGTATTGTGCTTTCGAGGGTTATAGCAAGTACCTTTTTTGTTAGCAAAATACCTTTTCGACTTCTATTATCTCTTCTGCTAAACTTGTATTACTAAATCTGAGAAAGATAGTAATGCACTCAAAAATGAAGTGAAGGACATTCCATTCTCATAGATCCAAGTCTATTTGTTAGCAGTGTTACACTATTGGGGGACATGCACAGACACGCGCGCGCACACACACACACACACACACACACACACCCCAGCAGAAAAAAGGAAGATAATTTTCATCATTTCCCATATGGCCTAGAAAAGTAGGGTTGTCACTAAAGTGGAAAACAGAAATAAATGAAAGTTCTCTCTTCCACCAACAAAAGTTTCCATTGGATCACCAACATAAGGAACAAAGGAATTCAGTTTTTGCAGAACTCCTTTGTTAAGTTAAAATTTTCTTGAACAATGTCAAAACCTAACAGATGCATCCAAGTCTGACTTAATGGTGCTACACATTAAACTTTCTTTGACCACCATAACGAGATGAGGCTGCACAATATATGTGGAATACCAGCTGTATAAATGAGCGGGTCAAAAAGAGTACAATTCCAGCTGTGACTATATGAACAAAGAACCATGTGTTAATGTACATGTGTTAATGTCACAAGCACACACAGGGGCTTTGTTCAGTGCCATCTTCACTTCTTGACCCCTCCGGCATTGCTATCCATGATACATTTTCAATTTAGACAGAAATGCCTTCCTTCCAACTCAACTCATATGAGATGACTAAAAGCTTTGAACAAGCCCTATTTTGGATGGGATTTTCTTTGCATGTAAAATGAAATGATCAGAAGATTCCAAGCACATTATGAGTCGCAGCATCGCCTGGTCTCTCCAATGGGTTCAATTTAAACACATAGCTATAGCTAGACATATTCCCATACCTTACTGGCAGCAACTCCAGCATGCTTATTAACTGCATACTCTGGTGTTTCTGTCTGCATGAAGTAGATTTGGTCTTTCTTAGATTCCCAGTCTTCCTGATATTTTCTCTGCAAACAGCAGAAAGTGCAAGAATGTACAGCTCAAAATTGGAATTTTATTAGAAAGGCAAGCAGTCACTATAAAATAGGGGAATAGAGAAAGGGAGAAAAAAGCAAACACAAAATGGCATTTTGATATTCCTTCTTACTGTGCTCAAGTTGTCAGAGTTCATTTTGGCAACTGCAACATCATAGCATGGTGTTTGGCTCCATTTGCCCTTCTTCTTTTTATAGTCTTCGTGATAGTTGTGCTATAACAAACAAGATATAAATATTGGACTTTAGATAAACTACTTAAGAAAAAGAAATATATTAAAATAGATTTGCTTTCCAGCTGAAAGTAAACTATTGCAGTTTAGTTTTTAGACTCTTCTAGTTTAACAATGTTTGAATAAAAATTAATTGCTCTATAACTTTCAAAAACATTCTCAGAAGAATAGAATAGAATAGAATAGAATAGAATAGAATAGAATAGAATAGAATAGAATAGAATAGAATAGAATAACTTTATTTCACCAAGTGTGATTAGACACAAAAGGAATTTGTCTCCAGAGCAGAAGCTCTCAGTGTATCCATTATGGAAAATCTTCCCAGAAAAATCAATCTGGTGCCTATCTCCTACCTGCTTTCTGATGTCAAATATAACTAATGCGGGGAAAAAAGGTCACATAGCATTCCATTAAAAATATAGCACTGAATTTAGTAGGTTTAAATTTATGATTGGGTAATACATTATGAATACATTAATAATGAATAAAATCTAAATATATCTAAATATCAGGTTTATGAGTCATACTTCATGGATCTCATTGTGTTAAATGCCTATTTCTCACCCGTCAATTTTTTTTTTTTTAAAAAAAAATCTTTATCAGGCATTATTTTACATGGAATGAGAAAAGGTTTATCTAAAATTAGAAAGGGGGATTTATTTCAGCCTCACCAAAACAAAGTGTCTTTAAAGGCTCTTTCTATAAATGAATTACTCTAGTTAAAACACAAACAAAAATTAGTTACACAAAATGTGCCAGGAAAAATTTCAACAATTAAAAGTACAAGAAATGCCTTCACCATACCTAGCCCAAAGTATAAAGGCCACCCTCCCCCCCCCCAGAAAACCAAGGATGTTGTCCTATTAAACAAATCTAAGATAAGGTATACACAAATGATAACTTGCTAAACTGATTCTATATATGTAAATTTCCACATGAAGAAAAATATGGAAGAAACAATGCTTAAAGCATTGGAGCAGCTGCCATCTTAGAATGGATGGGAAACAAGAATTAAGAATGCCGAACCTCAAGCGACTCATTGAAAGCACCTTTTAGCAAGATCCATAGCTAAATTTTGGGAAGTTCTTTCTTCATAAGCAAAAATGAACTTCTGAACTTACACGATACATTGCAACAGGTGACAAAAGTATTCAACTCTCTGCTGTCCATTGCTCCGATGCTAACCCCTTTACCTCTGTTCTCAACCACTAGAAAGGTGGAGCTGTGAAGTAGTTGCCAGCGACAGTAGGCTAAAAACACCATTCTTGGCTTTCCACAGTAGAAAGACCTCTTGAACAGCCTGTGGAATCCGGGGCAGCCTCATACTTGGTATTATCTGGGCTACATAGATGTTCTAATAAATGATCCAATATACTGTAGGTCAGCCCCAATAGATAGATCAGACCAGCAAATCAACTCCACAGGAAGGAATTGGCATCTCAATACTCTAACTGAGATTGGCTATAATAGCAGGGTCTTGCAAGTCTGATTGTGATCTTCCTCCTCCTCCTTCACCACCACCACCACCACCACCACCACCACCACCACCACCACCAGTGAATTAGGGAGTTATCTCCTTGAACTTCATCCAAACGTTATTTTGCTTTTCTGGACTTAAAAAAAAAATCATCTCTTCTTGCTTCTGTAACATTTCCTGCATTTTCCATTAAGGTCAACTTCCTTACTCCACACAACACAGTAAAATCTCAGCTTTGGCCATCCAGCCAATTCTAACATAAATTTATAAATCACCACAAGACTGCAAGGTTGTAGGCAGGATTGCCTCTTTTTGTAAAGTTTACACACACATCCTTAGGTTCTTCACTGGGGCCTTTATGAGAGATTCCTGCCACACTTATATTTCAGTGGTGGGTCTCAAATCATAGAACAGCTTCCGGTTGAATTTAGGTCGGGTCAATTTATTTCTTTGTTGTTGGTTTGTTAAATGTATATGACGCCCATCTCCACGAAAAGGCCACTGGGTCCGTGTTATGATTTAAGAGCAGGCTTTAAAATAACTCTAAATTGGATTCTATTGTATTCAGAAAATTAAAAGTTACCTAGAGATGGAAAGGAAGTGAGCAAAATATGAAATTATCAGTTAATCAATAATAAGCAATGGATTGGTTGGCTGATTTTCTTTATGCTAACTCAGGTGGAAAGATAGAATGGGAAAGAGAAGCATTATTGTGAAATGGTTGGGATAGCAAGGTGCAAGATTCACCTGTAAAGGGCACTGGTATTTTCCCCCTCCTTGTAAGATATTTTAGAGATCCCTGATGACTGTCCTGCTCTCAGCTCAGGTGAACGTATTATAATGAATTCTGTCACAAAATACTCACATCACTGAGCTGTCGAGTAACTTTCTTGGCAAGCTCCACATCAAGTGGGTCAGGCACAGAAGTGTATTTCGATTTCTGCTCAGCGTGTCCTTTTTTGTAAACAATCTGAAATCATCAGGAAAAAGAGGCCTGGTTATTTAAACAGGCATATCTATTCTTGCAATCTGTCTCAATAGGAGTTAATTTTCATGGAAGCAAAATATACCTCTGTTAATTTAGCATAGTTATTTTAGGATTTTATGCCAGGAATAAAACAAGGTAATCAGAGGAAGCAATTGTTTCGTTTGCTTGGCTTTAGGCATGCTAGGTGGTAAAATTTGCTCTTTACCACAACAAAGTAGCCATCTTTATAGAAGTTAATAAATTAAGAGCTAGTGTGGAAAGTTTCTACTGCACCATTTATTTTAATGCGCCCTTTATTTTAATGGCTCTGGTGTTGGTTGGATTAGAGAATAATACTTTCCCAAATTGGAACATTATTGCCTTCATTCCTTTGAATCAGACTCAGTTCTTAATAACTATAATCTTTTAGTTTTCTTGGCAGCATGGAGAAATGACTTGCTACTGTCTTCATTCCAGTTTTTTTCGACTTTTGTCTAACCTACAGTTCAAGTCCTAACCCAGATCCAACTCTGCTAGGCTTTTGAGATCACCCAATGTCAACTAGGTGCTGCCACAGATTTCTTCTCCATCACCTTCAATGCACCATCCATCCCATTCCAGTGCCTCTTCTATAGGCTAAAACATATAAGGAACGGTTGCTGGAATTGGGTATGTCTAGTTTATTGAAGAGAAGGACGAGGGGGGACATGATAGCAGTATTCCAATATCTCAGGGGCTGCCATAAAGAAGAGGGAATTAAGCTATTTTCCAAAGCACCTGAAGGCAGGACAAGAAACAATGGGTGGAAACTAATCCAGGAGAGAAGCAACCTAGAACTAAGGAGAAACTTCCTGACAGTGAGAACAATTAATCAGTGGAACAGCCTGCTCCAACACTGGAAGTTTTTAAGAAGAGACTGGACAGCCATTTGTCCGAAATGATGTAGGGTTTCCTGCCTGAGCAGGGGGTTGGACTAGATGACCTCCAAGGTCCCTTCCAACTTTACTATTATTATTATTATTATTATTATTATTATTATTATTATTATTATTATTATTGCTGTGACCTTGCCCGTGCCAAAGGGCAAGACAAATGTGCCTCAATCAGCCTTCTATCTCATTCTTGTAAAAGCCCTTTCAAGATTGTCCAGCTTCTAAACATTGTTCACCCACTAAACATTCTGATTCAAATCTAGATTCTTCTAATCTAACACTCTTAACTATTAGCTATGTCATGCTTGGGTGCCCTTTCCTACGGAGATTCTCAACCATCTAGGACATGGTTGTCCCAAAGGTGCTTTTCCGAAAAGCAACTGGACTTTCTTGGTTTTTGTTGAAAACATGTTTGCTTCTTCTTGGATGAGAAGTAAAACGATTTCCAAAAAAGTCCAGTGTCCTTTTGGAAAAGCATCTTTGGTTGCCCTTTCCCAATTACCCAGGTCCAGAACCAATGACCAGTCAGGATTTTGATACTTACATCACTGAGGGCCTTTTGTGCCTTTGCAACTCTCCTAAGTTCAGGACTGTCATCATAAGGATAGAAGAGGGATTTGTCTGCTTCCCACTCTTCAATGTAAGGTCTCTGAGGGAAAAGTAACCACAAAACTCATTGGGCCCAGGCAGGAAAGAAGCACCAGATAAACAGAAAAGGATCACACATTCTCCTAACCCAGGGGTAGGCAACCTTGGCTCTTTTATGACTCGTGGACTTCAACTCCCAGAATTCCTGAGCCAGCTGCTCAGGAATTCTGGGAGTTGAAGTCCACGAGTCATAAAAGAGTCAAGGTTGCCTACCCCTGTCCTAACCAGAAGTAGACCTACCTTACTGAACAAGGCTGTATTTTTTATAGCGTGAACAAGCTCGGGAGCATCAGGAGGAAGCAGGTACTTTTCCTTATTTTCTTCCCAGTTCTGTTTGTATAAAACCTATAAAGACAAAATCAAAAAAATACTGCATTGGTTGCAAGAACTGTAAAGAAGCTTCTCTTTTGCATCCAATTCTTCATAAAGTCTAACAATAGTCAAATTCACTTGCTAAGATGGTTGCCGATCCCACTCTTTCCTATACTGCTTCTGAACACCTCAGTGTTCCTTGATGTCTTTTATACATAACTGCCTAGCCTTGATTCTTCAAAATTATTGTTTAAACACACATAACAAAATCAAATTTCTACTGTGTTAAGCTGTTCTGTGAACGTATGCAGCCTTGAAAGGCAATTTTCTATATTCATTCACCTAACTGAACAAATGAGAATTTGCTAGAAAGACAATTTGTCAATCTTCTTTTTTAAAACCATCTCTCTGTGGTGAGTCATATCTCCAGTGTCCAATCTGATGACCAAGGTTGTTGATTGTGTCCTTGCTTCATTTTGTAGGGAACGGAAGTATGCTTTGGTCATCATAGCTGATTTCACAGTTTAGTGCCAATCCAGAAGGACAGGAAGTGACCATACTGAGACAAAGTATAACATTTCAAGACAATCCCTTGTGTGAAATGTGTGGTTTATGCAATTTAGAATAGGGAGGATCAGCACAAGTGTTATCATAGTCTACACATAGGTTGGACATATCAGGCATATCAGTTCCTTCAGAACTAAGCTGCATCATCATCATCATCATCATCATCATCATCATCAAGTTGGAAGGGACCTTGGAGGTCATCGAGTCCAACCCCCTGCTCAGGCAGGAAACCCTACACCATTTCGGACAAATGGCTGTCTAGTCTCTTCTTAAAAACTTCCAGTGTTGGAGCATTCTCCGCTTCTGGAGGCAGGTTGTTCCATTGGTTAATTGTTATTAACCATGTAATCATGGTAAAATTAAAGTGTCAGGGAGAAATAGAATCACCAGTAACTTCCTTAGAGACTGCTTGGTAACTGATTCAGGCACATATTTCACTGTCTGGATAAATATTTCCTGGGGATTGAGGAGAATAAGATATTCTTTTGCACTTCAAGCGTTAAACTAAAATACACAATGTGACTTAGATTGCTTCACCTGGAAAAACTGAACATCTGAATGTGATGCTGTCAGTGGCTCCAAGCAAACCAGTTTTGCCTAACCCAATATTTTCTGGGCACATCGGCTTTCAATTCCCACCCTTCCTGATTCAAAAACCATAATGATTGCAGATCATGGAACTGTATGAAAGGAAAAGATGTGAAAAGGATACCCATTACAAGGGTAGTAAAAAATGTGGTAGTCATTGTTTAGCGACTACAGTTGAGACCGGCACCTCAGTCCTTAAGCAAAGCTGTTGCTAAATGAAACCACTTATATTATGCTTATAATTTTATTTCAGCTTTCCTTTGCTGTACAGACCTGCAAAGGTCAGAAAGAGAGGATTGGCCATACAGTTACTTTTTCATCACTATATCACAACTGCAGTGGTTGCTAAAAGGGACAGTCACTGAACAAGGATTGCCTTTATAACTCACCAGAAATGCATAAACTTCTTTTCCATTGGAAAGTTGGATGACAAGTGACAAAGCACATATATTGTTGGTTTGTGTTAGCAGGTTTCTCTCATAATTTATCCAGAAATAAAGTAAACCATTTGAGCTGCATAAGCACCACCTAGGGCAGTGGTGGCGAACCTATGGCACCGGTGCCAGAGGCAGTACTCGGAGCCCTCTCTGTGGGCACACATGCCGCTGCCCCAGCCTCACTTCCCCCACAACCCCCTCCTCTCCAGCAGCCCCCCTGAAGGAGAGTCGCCCCTGAGCGGGGCCCACGCGGAGCAGCGCAGCCAAGGACATGGCAGCCAGGCATATAGACAAGACTCTGCTCTCACACCCCATCATGCACAGTTGATGCTGCAGGGTGTGGGCAGAGGGCGTGACCACCATAGCGCTGTTGGGCTGCCTGGGCAATCTGTGGCGGGCCCTGGAGGTGGTGAGTGGCCCTGCGGGCAGGTGGGGTGGGGATGGCGGGCGGGGCAGGAGTGGGGCAGGGGGTGGAGCGGGGGTGGGGCCAGTTTTTGGGCACTCGGTCTCTAAAAGGTTCGCCATCACTGACCTAGGGTTTTGGGGGTTTTTTTCTTTACAATTCTCATTAATTTGTACATCACAGGATGACTTACCTTGCTGACTTGCTGAGAAACTTTCTTTGCATGCTCAATGTCCCTTGCTTTTTCATCCACGTGGCAGTCGGTTCGAGCTGCCTCCCCAGCCATGCGATACTTAACCTACAGAAAATACATATAGGCTATACAGTATAGAGAACTGTAGTAAATCATTGCTTTGAAGATTGAAAATAGAGCCAAAACAAACTGAAATCAAATGATCACTTAATTCATGGGATTTCTTCAAGTTTATTTAATATGCATTTTAAAAGAAAAGGGTGCTAGCTTTTGGAAAAGCTCTTGGGGTGTGTGCATATCCCAGGGTTTGGAGATGACTGGAAGGGTGTTCTTATGCCGAGAGAGAATCCACCCATAAGGCCAGCTATCAGGTGTGAAGAATCAAGGCCACACATTTAGTTCTAATCAAGCTAATTTATTGCTCATGCCTATACACAGGAATCTAGTCATCTAACAGTCAGCACTAAATTAGTGCTAGATAAGGGCCAACAGAATTCAAGGGAGGCTGGACTTGGATCACTTGTGGCAACCTAATGACTCCAAGCTGATTCCTCTCTTGACTCTGCCCCCAGTCTCTGCTGCTTCTTCTCCTACACCAGCAGCTTTCATGCCTGCAGTATTTTTCAGAGAATCAAGAACTGTAATTATAACCCACAGGTATGTAGTAAGAAGTCTCAAATTTCTGGCTTGAAGCAGAGTCTGCAGTTTCCTTTGCCAAGGATCCAGCAATATTTATATCCTAAAGTTCCAGATTGGCTTACTGTAATATTATGAGTGAGCTTCTGACTAAAATTAAAACAGTATCATCTAGTCATGGTTTCTTCTTCCTGATCCTTACCTCACTCAGCTGGTCCTGGACTTTCTTGATTCTCCGAAGTTCAGGAGTATCTGTTGTTATTCCACATGGTTTTCCTTTTTCTTTTTCAAATTTTTCCTTGTACTTTTTCTGGGAGCAGAGAAGATAGCAAAATGTAGATCTATTTTTGGCATGTCAAAGTGTTAGGGTTAAGAAGCTCTGTAGAAATGCCTTTACGTTTCAAGCTTTAACGTATTTCTACAGATGGACACATCCGAATTAGATAAACTGTTTCAATTTCAAATCCCACAGTTCCTTACAATTTGCCAAAAAGGCTTGATTGTAGGTAGTCCTCAACTTACAACAGTTCATTTAGTGACCATTTGAAGTGACAACAGCACTGAAAAAAGTGACTTATTAGCATTTTTCACACTTATGACCATTGCAGCATCACCATGGTCATGTGATCAAATCTCAGAGCTTGGCAACGGACACTTATTTATGACGGTTGCAGTGTCCCGGGGTCATGTGATCACCTTTTGCGACCTTCTGACAAGCAAAGTCAATGGGGAAGCCGGATTCATTTAACAATCATGTTACTCATTTAACAACAACAGTGATTCACTTAACAACTATGGCAATAAAGGTCAAAAAATGGGGCAAAATTCACTTAACAAATGTCTCACTTAACAATAAAAATTTGGGTCTCAATTGTGGTCGTAAGTTAAGGACTACCAGTAATAGGAAACAGACTCCATAAAATCTGGGGACATCAAATTGGTGTGTGAGTAGGGAGTATGTATGTGTCTGCATATATACAAACATAGATATATCTCCATGCATAGTTGGATGAAAGTTTAATTTATATATAAATTGCATAATGTTCTGATTAAGGGACATTTTTTTTTCCAAACTTACAGCCCTACAGATCAGCTTTGGCTTTCTCTGAATATACTGAATTTATGCTTTGAGTACAAAACACATACACACGCTCACATGTAGATATGGTGAATTAGGTTGTTTCATTTAATCAAAGAAGTTATGGTCTGAATAAGGAAAGAGTATAAACTTGAACTTTTTCAGACCATTATTCTAAATATTAAACTAAGCTTTGATTTTTTTCTGACGAGCTTACTCTGGAGACCAGGATTCCCAGCTTCCCCACATGCTACAGTAATTGACAGTTTTTTATTTTAGGATCTTTTTTAAAAAACAAATTGCTGAAACTCCTTAAAATGGGATTAAACTGCTTTGAATTTGAGAAGACGCAAATTTCTGACTCACCTCGCTGAAGAGCTTTTGCATTTTTGAACTGTGATCCAAGTAAGGTGTCAGAAACTTAGATGTATCCACTTTTTTCCGTACAACTTTTTTCCTGACAGGATGGGAGGCCTTGTGAGAAGTGTCTGTGGTTTCCGGAGGTTGTGTACGTGATGTTGTGGTTTCATAAGTATGCGTTCTTGTTTCTGAAGGATGCCCGCTTGTTTCTGAAGTATATCTTGTTGTTACTGTGTGCGGTGTGGAGCCAGTTCTGTATGTGGTCTCAGTGTACTCCGTAATCACCTAAGAATTGGAAAGGTGTTTCAAATTTATCTCCCAACTTAGCATTCGTTTTAGAGCCTTTTAAGTTGATACCTTTGGAGTTAAAATTGTCTATATTCCTGATAATCTTTTGAAAATCAGTGCAACTGAGATACAGAGGACTTTGTTCGGAACTAGATTTTGACAATTTCAAGAAGGTTTTCAAAGTTAGTAATCTACACCCCACAATAGATTATATGAATGATTTATTTGGATAACTTTTTTCACCATACATCAGAGGTCCCCAAATTTGGGGGCACCAAGGACCGGTTCCGTGGAGAGGAATTTTTCCATGGATTGGAGAATGCATGGTTTTGTGTATTGCCTGCTTGTTCGTGTGGACCGGTTGCTGGCATGCTGCGGCCCAGTACCAGTCCATGGACCGGGGGTTGGGGGGCCCTGTCATACATCATTTCATATGTTTGTGCAATGTATAAAAGTACACATTTAAGTTGAGTCTTCACCTATCCTCAAGACAAATGGTGAAGGCAGAAAGTTTTGAAAATTAGGGAATAATGGAATAGTTGTAGAGACTATGCAAAGAATAGTTCATACTGTTTGTTTTATCTGTATGACTACTGAGAGACTACTAACTGAGTCATACAGATATTGCATTCAAGAATATCATATCCTGATATTCTTGAATTCAGGTTGGTCCGTATGACATATTGCATCTATTTTTCTGAACTGAATCAGCCACGGGTTCTAATTAAAAAGTATATTAAAAGTATTGCCAGAAGTAACAAACACCAAATGTTTAGAGTAAAATAATCTTACAGTATTTATCTTCAGGTTGCTAGTAACATTTATGACAACATCACCCTGGGCAGAAAAATCTTCTTTCAAAGATGAACAAGAGGGACAATATGTGAATTATTTATGCAACTTGGACAAGAAACAAAAACAAGAAAATGACATTGGACATTCCAAAGTGAATTACATCAGACAAATGAATGGAATGAATGGATGAAAGGAATGTTTCCTTTTGAGATGGGATAGGTGTGTGAATCAGGAAGAAAAAAAAAAGCAAAATGAAAAAGCTGAAGGACAGGGGTCTACAAACCAAATAGCAGTGTTACATTTTACAGTCCCATTACTATTGGAGCTATGAAACACACTAACAAAAGCTTGCAGGAAATATTCTGTACATCCATATTTACTCTCTTCTTAGCTGAGTTTTCAAGTTTTCACTTTCATTTAGCAACCTCTAAGAACTATTTTTTTTTCCTTATTTTCTCATAGATGGCCAAGATTTCAAGAGCAGAGGTATATATATACACACACACACACACACATTTTAGGCCAATCATACCATTCAAGCCAATCAAAAATTAGTCACCAATTTCAGTAGGATGCAGGTATCATTGTACATCTGCATCAAAAGAAAAGTAAGTGTTTTCAAAACATCTTAGTTAGTACTTTACAAACCATTGAGCATGTGGACAAGGGAAAAAGTTCAGTGCAGTTAAAGCTTGCTGCAAATTAAGGCAAATAAAGATAGGAGTAGGAAATAGTAAGTTAACTAAAACAAGCCTTCAACTCTTGCTGGAGGAAAAAAATCTGGATTTTCATTTATTTTTCCTTTCTCCTACAACTTAAAAAAAGAAAAAGAATAAAGGAATCAGGCAGGCAGAAAGCCACTAAGCCTTATTATACCAAGCTACATCTTTCTCCAGAGTCTTGAAAGAGATTATTCCATTTATGTAGATTAGACATAGGTGCAGGTGTTAACAACTACTGCACCCTCTAACCCCAAAATTCGTAAATCTGTCCCTTACCATCAAAAAACTGTCCACCATTGCATTAACAAGACACTCAAAGCAAGATCACCATTCTGTTATACACAGTAAGTTGTTGGTTGACTTTGTTCTTCTCAGAGGTTATTATTAGATTACTCAACCATGTAAAAAAATCTATTAAATTATTTTATATTATACACACACAAAATGCTGAAAAAGCATTAAATTCCACAAAATCAGATGTTTGGGCATAAAACAGAGGCTTTTACCTCATCTGGTTCACCCTCGACCTCCTCTTCTATGTAGTACTATAAACAAAGAAGAAACCTCATTATTTTTCACAAGGTCATTCATAAAAACACATCTGTTTCTCTTGAGGCAAAGAATAAAATCTCAGTCTGAAGAATGGAATGATTGGTAAGGATTTTCCATGGACAGTGCTCAAAGATTTAGCCGCTGGTAAGATCCACAGGCATTTTGTTCCATAAACGCCAGCGGATTTGTGATTGCCAATCCCTCATAATACTTAATGCTGTTAAAAATGTTATTTTTCCTTATATCATAAAGACGTAGCTTTTAAATGTTGTATTAGATCCAATTCAAGAATTCCAAGACTTCACATCTCCTGCCTGCACTTAAGGAATTTTGGACACCCATTGGCTTGTTCATACAATAATCTTTTAAAATTCGTGACTCCGTGGTGAGCGAACAGGATAAGTGAGTTCACAGATCACTAGCCCTAACCTGAAATCATGATCAAACACCACCTTTTCGCTAAATGTACCATTTTGGTTATTAAGGAAGGGGAGATAATCCAAAAGATCATTCTAATACCAATGCAAAAAGCAGGTAAATCCACAATATTTCCAAAGTGATACATTTGCAACCCGCACTGACAATCTTGCATTTAATTGTTTTCTTGTGAAAATGGCATTGTCAGAGAACTAAGGACCTCTTTAACAGGGAAAAGATTGTATTCATCCATGAATTCTTTTTAAATGAAATATTGTTATGTCCTAGGAACATTTGTCATGGACTAGTCATTTGAGTTTGCTACCTGACAGCCCTTGTAAAAGAAAGGCTTTAATAAAATGGCAACTTATGTATCAAAACATGATCATATCTTATTGGAATGACTGTTACACATTAAATATATATGTGTGTGTGTATATTTCTTAATTGGGGCTCTGCAAAGCTGCAGTGAGATCATTCAAATGGATGATTCAAATTTTGTTTGAAATGATTCAAGCCAGAACTGAAACATAGCCAACAATCTTCCAGAATTTCCCTCAGAACTGTTTATGCTTCAGGGTGTATTATCATATTTAACTTCAAGAAAGAAGAATTTAAGAACAAACCATGCCTGAACAAGAATTACTGGACAAAAAAAAATCTTATCATCTTTCACTGCTCAGCAATCCAAAACAATCCTCTATCAGAAGGGGGGGGACCTCTAATACGTCTGCATAATATGTGTGACTGGCCAAATGGAATACAAGCTATCAGTCACCTGTATCCAATCTCTACGAAGCCACAAGGAATTGAATACTTTCTTGATTTTTCTGTCTGTCTGCTATATTTGATAAGCTGATTTAATTTTGTGTTAACACAACTGGCATAATTATACTGTACATAGCTATAGGTCTCAAACGTGGATATTAACTCGTATTTAATACACTATATTAGATTAGATTATATCTTACAAGTGTTGAGTTTTTTTCTTCCAGGCTATTTTCATGTTTTGAATTGGGTCCTGTTACTATTAAGAGGGGGGTGTATCAGAGCTGAACTACTGCTTCTTAGCGTCTTAACTAAGATAAAGTTCAATATCACGACCAAACTCAAATTCCATAAAGAATTTTGGTGCCTATGGAATGATCCAGCTTCCAGAACAGTACAAACAATATTCATTTTCCTTGATCTTCCAAAGAAAGCAGGATAAGAAACAAAGAACCTAGATGTGGAAGACAATTGTAAAGAGGGATTGTTTCAGAAGATTTTTTTTTTTAAGTCCAGTTGATCACCTCAAATCAATATTCTCATCTGAACACAGGAAAGAAAGTGATATTATCAACCCTTAAGTTTCATAATGAAACAAACAGTATCTGAAGTTTTCTCTTGTTCATAAAGAAACAAAGAAGGAACTCAACTGCCTCTTGTTTAAGTGGATTTTACATACTCTCTTTTTCAAGGTCTATAATATTGTCTAGAAACTTCATCAAATTTAAGCAGAGGTTCAGGGCAAATCTAATAGAAACGAATGTACTAAGACCAGCTATGTCAATAAAAATATTTCTGCAAATCAGCTGGCCTAAAAAATGGAATAAATCACTTTGCTAATAATACTCCATTCATTGTACAACAATGTACAAACTTGTGAAAAGCTCTCTTGTCAGCAATCTTGAAATGTTTATAGTACCAGTGAAATATATTAGACTAATTTCATAGAGGGAACCTTCTTAATTATGAGTCAGGGTAAGTAAAGAAGAAGCAGAAATGTTGAAATGGCACAGAAATATCTTTGTAGATAAGACTAAACTTGCGTCATTATTAGAAGAATTCTGTCATAGTTGCATCCGCTTTGGCAAAATGATGGGATTTTCATGTTGCTTTAATGTGAAAGACAGCTCCAAATTATTTCCCCAAACTCTTTTTCACTAGTACTGTAGCAAGTGCTAATTTTACCCTAACTTTGCAGAGCATCAGATCAAACTTTAAATTAAAAATATTTTCAAAGTGCATTTTAGTTTGAAACTGCCTTCGTCATCATAAGAGCAAGCTTATTTCACCAAAAATTATTTAATACATTTTGTTAGAATTATTTCTCCTGTTCACTGAAAAATGGAGAGGTAGAAGATGCTAATGCGGTCCACATTAGACCCAATAGGATTTATTTCTATGTCTTCCTTTTACTGTTGACCTTATCATACTCATTTTATTAATCAGCCTAGATTTTTAAGCATGTATTCCACCAATAAATTCTACTGGATTTCATGTATTTTTGGTATTAAAAGATTTATCGTGCTCAGTTTAATAGGATCTATGACACTGACTAAATTCTCAGACTTAGTACATTAAGGTTTCTCTCCATTTCCAAGAATCACATTAACAAAAACCCTCCAATTGCTCGGGCATTTCCCCCGGACCGCATCCAGAGTGAGAGGATAGAAGAAGGTGAGAAGTAAGTAGGAAGGTGGAGGAGAGGGGGTGAGGGAGGAAGAGAAAGAAGAGGGAAAGAGGCAAGTTGGTCAGAGGGTGGATGCGGTTTGGGGGGAAATGGGTGAGCAATACCGAAAATGGTGTGTATTAATTTATTTTAAGATTGTATTGTATTGCAAAATTGAAAATAAAATTTTTTTACAAAAAAAAAAAGAAAAAGAAAAAAGATAAAAACCCTCCAAAGATACTGACACTCTTCAACAGAGCCTGATTCTACAGATAACTTTGTCAAGATTCAGCTGTTTTTCAAACTTTGTATACAGTTGGCTCTTTTGATGAGAAGAATATCAGGAGGTAATGGTCCTCCTGCTTTTTTCTTCACTATCCACCACCCGAGACGATGCTTATACAACTAACAGCACGCGTATACCTGGTAAAGCACTACCACAAGTATAAAAGAAAATCCCAAGGGTGCTTTTTCAAAAGGCAACTGGACTTCATTTTTCTTTGAAGATATTTCGCTTCTCATCCAAGAAGCTTCTTCAGTTCTGACACCAATTCCAGTTCTGATTTCTTGCATGAGAAGCGAAACATCTTCAAGGAAAAACCAAGAAAGTCCAGTCGCCTTTTGAAAAAGCACCTTTGGGACAACCATAACCTGGATGACCAAAGAAAATGTAAGAAGATTTTGGGGAGAAGATGGAAGAGAAGGTGTGCATTCATTTGCCTACAGAAAGGCATTGCTATTTCTGTTTATTAATTCTATGTCAGACTAGCTACATACAAAGGTGTGTGCATCTAACTGCGCCTCTGTGTTTATGTGTGTGTGAAAGAGAAAGAATATTCATCCCAGCATGGAAGAAACATGAAAGCACCATTTTTTTTTCTCTCATGAGGCCTGATCACCTGATTAACTTCAAATTGGCAATGTGGCCATCATACCAAGCAAAGACGGAGCTTACTTCTCACTTAAGTATTCTGTACTAAACAATCCAAGCCAATGTCCAAAATGAAAAACATAAGCTATTTTTAAGAGGACTCTACTGCAAGCCCTTTAAAATACAAATTTGTCTCCTTATAAATAAAGATGTATTTTGCTCTCCAAAGCTTTGCATGTTTATTTCTGGTTCTCACAAAATTAAAGCACGAGGGTAAAAGATCCATGGAAGGCAATCAGGAAGCTGATGTGCTATATGCTTCTGGAAAAAGTTATCTTGCTCAAAACTAAGATTAGAAGCAATTGCGGCCTTTTTTTTTTTTTACAACTACTACAAGTATCTCAAGAGATAAGAGGAAAAAGACAGACATCTGAAGAGACGATGCAACAATATAAAACCGAAATGATAATATGAAAGATAAAACCATTATTATACTAAGAGACAGACAATGATAAGACAATGGGCACACGGCTATCGGACACACATGAGATGGGAAGAAGAAGAAGAAAGAAGGAGAAGAGGGGAGGGAGGAGGAGAATAAGAAGATGATTTTTTTGTAATAAAAGAAAAGTTAAAACCATTTCCTTGATGGTAACACTGGTCATCGGAAATATATAAGAGTTTTACTCTAGTAGGATGTAATATGATCCAAAAGTGAGAAACACTTGTGCAACACATTCAATCTAATAATCAATGTGCATCTAGGACAGTGGTGGCGAACCTATGGCATGGGTGCCAGAGGTGGCACTCAGAGCCCTCTCTGTGGGCATACATGCCATCGGCCCAGCCCCACCTCTTCCTGCAGCCCCCTCCTCACCAGCAGCCCCACAGAGGAGAGTCGACCGCGGGCATGGGCTGTGTAGAGCAGTGCAGCCAAGGACATGGCAGCTGGGCAGCAGGGACAAGACTCTGCCCTTGCACCCCATTGCATGTAATTGATGCTGTGGGCATAGGTGGAGGCCATGGCCGCCATGGCGCTGTAGGGCTGCCTGGACAATTTGCTGTGGGCTGTGGTGGCGGGTGGGTGGCCCTGCGGGCGGGTGGGCTGGCAGATGGGCTGGAGGGCAGGGCGGGGGCGGGCGGTTTTTGGGCACTCGGTCTCTAAAAGGTTCGCCATCACTGACCTAGAATTACAACCTGAGACTTGCAAAAGCCGCATCCAAAAGTGGCATGGCAATAATGGAGCCTGGCAAGGAAATGTACCCACGACTTTTCACACAGGCCCTATGTAAGCCAGTAAGTTGTTGCTAGATAGAATTACGGGCTGGGCTCATTTAAAATGCCCATATGAATATTAACATTATTAGCATCATTTATGTTCTATTTTTCTTTTTAAAAAAGACTAAACTGAAGGAAGACGAGGAAAGAAAGGGCATTGCTGGCCATTACTGTCATTGTGCGCTCTCACAACCTCATGTCCTAGGACAGGGGTAGGCAACCTTGGCTCTTTTATGACTCGTGGACTTCAACTTCCAGAATTCCTGAGCCAGAATAGCTGGCTCAGGAATTCTGGGAGTTGAAATCCACGAGTCATAAAAGAGCCAAGGTTGCCTACCCCTGTCCTAGGTATTCTCTGGGAGTACCCAACAGCTGCTGGAAGCCATTTAGAATATATCAATTTCTATAACTGTCAGGTCACCAGCTCTGAATTTGGAGATACACTCACTTCAGAAGCAGCCATCTCAGGTTCCTGACCTGCCATTATTTGCTGTTTTGTTGAAATAATAAACTCATCTGCATAGCTCAAGGCAGTAAATCAAACATTTAAAAATCTTACCTCCACAACCTCCTCATAATCATCTTCGTCTGCCATCTTTGGGGAAAGCCAGTCCACCTACTCACTGGTCCCAAAGCAAGTCAGATAAATAAATATCAGCATGATGAAGTCAAGGCTGCTCACTTATCAAAGCTAGTATCTCTATGCATTATAAAAAATATTGTAAGAATGCCTTTACACAAACACACACAGAGAAAGGCACAAAGAGAGAGAGAGAGAGACAGACCAATGGATAGACATGCATCTGTGGTATATTCAATAATGTAGACCAAATATTAAATATTAAAATATACAATATTTATAAATATTAATATTTATAAAACATTCCTAATAAATATTTTATTAATTAATAAAATGTTAAAATATTAGAAAACATTAAACCAAAAAATATTATCAAAAATTTCATCTTTCTGAAAATATATGTAAAGGAATGCCATTTATCTTGAGATGTTTAGCATCAGATTGCCATTATCCTTTCATAATTTGTATTTCTCTCCAATATCTCATACACAGAGGAAAAAGCCAGTTTTTTTTTTTTATTGTGGAGACATTGGCCTATTTCAACATTTTAGACAATAACATTTTTGCAAAAAAAAAAAAAAGCAGCAAAAACAAATTGCACCGTTATTTTCCTTTATGAGCCTAAATATAGCAATTCTGCTTAATAGAATTGCTTAGGATGCAGGCAAGGAACAAACATAGATTATCATATCTATCTACTCTCTTGAGGGATGTACTTGTAATGAAAAATTAGATAATATCATAAAGTCTCTTCCTAGCTTAATAGAGTATGTTAAATAGAATATGTATTGTGCACTGAGAATTTATGCAAAAACATCTACAAGGAGATGAATAATTGACAATTCTCAGCCGGCACTAACCAAAACATTAGATGCTCCATTAATATTTCTTGAGGGAAAATTCACTTACAGTTTTGACTGTGAAGGTCAACTAGAAGGTCCTAAATATGTTTACCAGCAGCTAGAAAATGAGCTTAGGATAAGGAGTGCCAAACACTGAGCCAACAGAACGTTAGCATTGCAAAGAGGTGTGCTGGCTATGGCGGAGGCGAAACCTGGAGAATTTTTCATTTTAATTGTATTACACAAGCAGCTTGCTAGTTCAGCTCCACGAAAGCTTTCCTAACCTAGAAATTTAGTTAGGCTTTTCCCCCTTGTTTTTCAGATCTTGCCACAAACCTTCACAGAGAAATATACCTGTGGGCCGACTTAATGTTACTCTGTGTAAACTAATAACCTTGGGATCTTATACAGCAGTAAACAACCACAAACATTAAATCATACAAATATTGTTCAACTGACCTTAACTTAATGAAGTTAATTTCTCTCGTCCCACCATTGATCTCCGGGGATGCTCTCTTGCTTTGCTTCTGTGGGTGCTTGACGTATTTCTCCAACTTCAGTCCTAGAAAAGATCAAGACTCTGGTCATTTAGATGGAAGAGGGGCAATGAATGAATTAATGCCTTGGAATGGATTAATGCACTGGAATGAGCCTGCTGTGAGAGATGGCAGATCCCTCTTTTCTGGTGCAGGGAAGGAGATGAAGGCTTAGAACAGCTGCTTCCTAGTACAAAAATATTTGCCCTGTAAGCCAATACCCCAGAGCGATTGGCTGGTTTTGTCTAGTTAGCTGAACTGCCATTCCTTCTGAGGCAAGTGGCACTCCAGTGCCGTAGGTTAAATATAGGCCCTTCAAACGCTGCCTCTTCCTAGTGCCAATTCTGTACAATCAAGGTGATATCTAAAATCAAAGGATAAAATGTTTGTTTCACCAAGGGAATAGGACAAGCCCTGAAGGAGAGAAAGACCCAAGAGCGGCTTAGCCAAAGGAGCCATTGAGCTCCACGTGCAAAATATTTGCAAGCAACAGAGGCAACCTCTCGTCTGCCTTTAAAGCCTCATCAAACTCAGAAATGATCTCTCCCCAAGCGGGATTATTTCGATGCTGAAAAGAAAAAGGATGTTGAAATTTGTAAAATAGTAAAAAAAAAAAAAAAAAGAATCCCTCAGGCCATAAAGTCTGCAAACAAACAAACAAACAAAAAACCCCAAATAAAGAATAATTTGGTAGAAAGCAAACCCCAACCTGTCTTTCTTTTAAAAAAAAACAAAAAGAGCAAGCTTACCAGTTATATTTAAATAAATTTCCTTAGGAGCAAAGCCTCTCTGACTGTCCTCCCTCCTGAGAAAAGCTGGGCAAAGGCAACGTTACTCTGATGCATCAGCTCCTAAATCATCATGTGGTTGAAGGGAGCCAATCAGACTAGGCATGCTCAAGTTTCAGATACTAAATATACATAGTGACCCTTTGGAGGACCACCTGTTCGGTAAACCCTCCAAGCAAAGTAAAGTAGCTCATACAAATCATTGATTTGTTTTTTAACCTCAATCAAAACATAGCAAGAGCATCAGCTACTTATATACAGTTCAACTGTTATTCACAAAGATTGGTGAAATTGTTGTTGTTGTTGTTGTTAATTGCGAAGTCGTGTCCGACCCATCGCGACCCCATGGACAACGTTCCTCCAGGTCTTCCTGTCCGCTACCATTTTCTGGAGTCCATTTAAGCTCACGCCTACTGCTTTAGTGACTCCATCCAGCCATCTCATTCTCTGTCGTCCCCTTCTTCTATTGCCCTCAATCTTTCCCAGCATTAGGCCCTTCTCCAGTGAGTCCTTCCTTCTCATTAGGTGGCCAAAGTATTTGAGTTTCAACTTCAGGATCTGGCCTTCTAAAGAGCAGTCGGGGTTGATCTCTTCTAGGACTGACCGGTTTGAACGCCTTGCAGTCCAAGGGACTCGCAGGAGTCTTCTCCAGCACCAATTGGTGAAATACAAACCACTATTTAAGGGTTGTTAATTACAATGAAGTTCAAGACAATAGGCCAGTGGAAGGATTTTTCTCATCCCACTCTCCCAAAAAATCTATGGTTTCTGAACTTGAGGTGATTTACCATACCCTTTCATCAAAGACAGGGAAGACAAACATGTTAGGTCAGGGGTGTCCAGCCTTGGCAACTTTAAGACCTGTGGACTTCCAACTCCTAGAATTCCCCATGCTGGCTGGGGAATTCTGGGAGTTGAAGTCCACAAGTCTTAAATTTGCCAAGACTTGTGCTTTAGATAATCAGAAGTGAGGTCTTGTTGTCTTTTCTCCATCCAACCCTTCCAATTTTGCTGGGTCTCAAGTCTTTTAGGATTGGGACATAGGTTGTAGATACAGAGTGTTCTATGTTATGGCATTCAGAAAAGATTGACAAATGGATATCCTCAAGGATGGGTTGGTCGGGCCTAGAAGACATGCCTTTTCTGATGGTGCACCCAGCTTATAGAACATTCTTCCTCTGGAGATCAGGGATGGCTTTTGTTGGTTTTTCGTAAGGTCTTAAATACCTGGTTCTGTGCCCAAGCCTGGAGCCCCAGGTGTCAGAAGGGACCTGGTTGTGTTAATGATTGGTTTGTTGTTTCTTGACTGCCTATATTTTAATTTTTGTAACATTTGCTATTGTTTTTATTCTATTTTAATTCTGTTTGCTGCCCAGAATCACTCTTTGAGATGTACAGCTATATAAATTGGATAATATATAAAAAGATTTAGTAATTCCGTCCATTGATCTTGTGGCTCTCTGCTTTTTTTGCTCTTCTAATATAAATCATTTCAAAGGAGGGAGTAAAGTAATTGCTGAGTCTCAAAGTCTTTCTTGGCCTGGGATGTACTGTATATTGTAGATGCATAGTGGAAGACAGTGATTCATGTTCTATGTTATAATTGTCATCATCATCAATTTATAACCAGTGGCCTTGTCCATAAAAATGCTGCTTACTCTAGTTCTAAGACATTCCTGCTTTACACTTGTTGATTTGGCTGTCTTCTCAGTTGAACAAAAGTTTATCTATGTTGTCATGTCAGGCCTGATTCCCCCCCCCCTAGAATATTGCCTAATATAGTGGTTACAGGTTGAAGTGCAAGGCCATGAGTATTGACTGGGCTTATGTATGTTGCTAAGGCATGGATTGCCAAAAATCAAAGCAACATTATTATGGCTTAGTGTGAAGGATGAATCCCCATGAAATTCCAAGGTGATCTTTATCTAGCCTCTATTCCTTTCCTTTCACTTTCAATCAAGCCATAGGCTACTTCATTGCATATTGATTCTATCTTGGGAGCTGAATGCCATAGTATATTTATACTGTAAGCTAGGGTTTAAACTTTTCTTTTCTTTGTTTATTTTACATTATGCCTGCTAGTTAATGACTACATGACCTCCTCCTTGACATACATTTTAAAAACAGTGTCTTATGTATAATCTTGAGGCAGGATTGATTGCAAAGATGAGACATCCCTCTGAATGACACCACTGTACTTTTATGAGACTTCAAGACAGATGCCGAACGATTCTCCCCATAGTTCATCATGAAACATAAGCATGTGGGAAGGGTGACTTCATCATTGATTTTGAAATGATGAATCCAGTTTCCAAATTTAAATTGTGGATGGGAACATTCTTCATTACTCAAAATGTTTGGTACTATCAGTCCATCAGAAGACCTATCATTTCAAATAATTCGAAAGAGATGAATAATTGCACTATATTTATTTATGTACAAGAGTTATAATACACTCACTTCAGATGTCTCTACTGCTAAATTCAATTCTGGCCTTTAGGGATCTGTTATCCTATTCATATATTTTCAATGGTTGGACTCACATGAGCTACATTCATTACAGTGTACTAATTGGTGCTCAGTACTCCACACGTCCCTACCCGGTACCTCCACTGAGGATCCCAAATTAGTGGGACTGCTGCATTATCAGGACTCTGGATCAATAGGCACTAGGCACTGGATTTTTAAGTACTTGTTTAGCAAAATCTCAGAGGTAGATGGAAGGAATGTCAACCAGATTTGTTGTTATTATTTCTGCTATGCTTACAAGTATAGTATAGAAGGAGCTGATAATCAGCTTTGAATAATAAATCCTATAAGACATAGGATTTGGTTTGGACAAAACTCAGCAGCACTTTTTCGTGCAGCTGCTGATAAAAACAGGATCGCCAACAGGATCACCAACGTCCAATAATGGATATGGCACAAGAAGAAGAAGAAGTTAAGACATAAATCAGATTACTAAACAATGTAAAAAGTTGTAGGAAAGCAAATTTCCTGCAAAATTTGACAGTGTTGTCCAAACAATAAGGGAGAAAAAATTGCACTGAAGACATGTGAGAAAATAGTAAAAGATGCAAAAAGAGACTTTGAAAGTCATATAATTCATAATTTTAAGAACAACTGCAAAAGAGACCTTAAAGTAGATGAGAAATAGAAAACCAATTTAAAGAAGCCGTTGTTCTCTTGGATGACAAGGAATTAAAGACACTATTACTAAAGATACATACCATTGCCTTCATGTTCTCCCTGTAAGCTTTCTTTGGACATTGAATGGAAATAAAATGTGCACTTAGACCTTCATTCTCATTCAGCCATTTCTTTTTCAAATACTTTATTGATACCCAAAAAAAGTGCATGGCTGACGATAGGTTGCTACCTTTTTACCTGGTGTTTCTTTAATATATTCAGATGAGATCATTTTGACTGCAAAACAGTCTCATTAAGGGGATGCCAAAGCATAACTAGGGAGTCCTTGTTCCAGTTTAACTAAATCACCCCATTCAAGTTGTCGAATACATGTAGATACAAAAGATGGTGCACACACACACACACACACACACACAAACCCTGTTAGCCTTCCCCTCTTCTGCTCCTTCAGGCACCAGCTCTTAATACAATTTTTAGAATTCATTTTCCTAGCTGCTTGTGTGAGATCAAAGATACATTACTCAGATGCATCATACATTTCACCTCCTGGGACTCTCTTGGCCACTAAAGCCCTTGCAGCTTTGCTTAGTCATCCATTAAAGTTGACTACAAAAGAGAGGGATTGATGTATAGAATATTGCATATTATGCAGTGTTCAGGCACAAAAAATTAACCCTTCCAGCATCTTTTAGAAAATTCCAGCTTTCAACCTGCCTTTGCTTGGAGTAGAAGCAAACCATTTGCTTGGTGGGTTCGGGAGTCCTCTCAGCAACATGAATATATAGCCATTGTAATAAACCAATAGGGAGTTTGCTCCTGGTTATTTGATCTCTTTTTTCTGCTGACCTTCCCAATCTTTTTTATTGTATGCATAAAAATGTTTTATCGCTTTATTGATAAAAGAGAGTCAATGTGGTGTAGCAGTTGGAAGCTGGATTAGGCCTAAGGAGCCTCAGGTTCAAATCACAACAACTCATAAGATGGCTCTGAGGCTTTGAAGGACTTTGTGGCCTTTTTGTTTAGCCCAACCTACAAAAGAGAGTGGTTGTTGTAGGGAAAACCTGAAGGAAGTGCTAAACAAAGACAAGATATGGACTGAACACCACCATACCTCCAACAAATAAATAAATACTATTCTGTGGTTGTATTTCTTAGTCACCATCCCATAGCTGACTATCATATCTGAGTTTCAGCTGTCTAAATGGCCACTAAATGGCAAACAAGAGAGACAGAATGTCTAAGTGTTCGTTGCTACCAATTCCCATCTTTATTTTTGAGCTTAGATATCATAGCCATGCTATCCCATCTTTTTTTTGGTGGAGCCAGCCTTTCCCAGGTTTCTGAAAGCTAACCTTCCCTGCTTTCAGATTCATAAAAGACCAAATTGGGAGTCCTAATAAAATCAGAGATGTAGACAAAGGGTTATAATGTTATGCTAACCCAGTGGTTCTCAACCTTTTTAATGCCGCAACCTCCAACCGGTCGTAAATCTACTCAACCGGTCGTAAGTCGAGGATTACTCAACTGGTGCAGCACCGTTTGCAGAATGGGACTTTTGGCGGGCTCAGCAGGGCAGAGACAGTCTGGACAATTCCTATTGGGTTTTGAAAGCCAATAGAATTAGACTCTATTCAAGAGAGTCTATTCTATTGGCTTTCAAAAGCCAATAGAATAAAAGGGAGTAGCACAGCTAAGGAAAAGGGGGAAAAATGGCGGACTGCGTTGTTTGGCGACCCCAGTGAAATGGTCATTCGACCCCAAATGGGATCCCGACCCACAGGTTGAGAACTACTGTGCTAACCAATAATTTTCTTAGAAAGAAGACTTCCCTTTCCTTCAGGAAATTCAGCAATGAATACATGTCTCCAAACATTTAATATGAATTTTGGGGATTGATGTCAGTGCACATGCT